TGCCCGAAAGAGAAAGACAGAGCGTAGGCAGCATAAAGAAATGAAGAACTGGATTCATTGATTGTTATGGCGATGGCAGCTGAAAAGGAAAGAGAGAAAGTTTGTGGGATTTGAAAATTTCATAGCGGGGGAAGAATTAGCGCAGAGAATTGCGGGGGAAGAATTAGAAATGATGTAAAATCATATTATATACTTTATATTGATATATCATGGACGTATATATATTTGTCACATAAATAATGTAAATTAGATATATTAATGATACACATTTTTGTTTTTCTTATATTGATTTTTAAAATTTTGATGATTAAAAAGAAAAGGGGATTTGTTACACGTGGTGGCCGGTGATTAGAGGAATAAGATGTGTCAACTAATTATTGGTTGAGAGGTTCCACATGTGCAATGGGTCCCACTTTGGTGGGTCATCTTCACCATCCAAACCCATGCACAAGGTGTAGAAATAGGGCCACACCAAGGGGCATTGTCCTCTTCCTACACCAAAGAGGCATTTAAAGGTTGATATCACTTGAAATATCTATGTCTAAATTTTACATATATATCAATAAAAATGTCTAAGTTTTATGTCTAAAATTTCCCGATTATGTATTGCACCTAAAGATATCTCGTGTCTTCTTTCAACGGGAGGGTGAAAAGAGGAGAATAAAGTGGCAAACGAGCGCGTGGAATTGATCGAACATATCGGATTGAATCCTGAATCAAGCTAAAAAAAACATTGTGTTGATGAGCCTGCGTAGTGTTGGTCAGGTAAAGGTTGACCAAACCAATGATGCTTAGCTGGTCTTTTCGAATGATCAACCATACTAGGATTGAAACACGACTCACACTCCCATAAAACTCACAAAACTCTCGTGAGTAACGCTTTGTCAATTTTATTTAATATCCCCATCATTTTTTTTGATACACGATAATATCCCTTCGGTTTAATTTTTTTTAATCCTTTTATATTTGTTTTTTTTAAATCAAACTTACAAAGGTCGGACAATAATTTTCTAATCCAAAATATGAGACATTTTATTAACTTTAAAAAGCCAACTTTATTGGGAGGCCAATAATGCTAAAAATTGATAATAACTATTATTTAATATAAAAAATAATTATAAAATTAATATTTCAACTAGAATACACTTCAAACCTTATATTATAAAATTAATAATTAATATTTCAACGTTTTATTTATTTATTTTTCTATAAATACCTTATTTTATAATAATAAACTCGAGTTGAAGCTGTGTATATAAAGCCAATTCCTAGATCCATAGAAATTTCATACATAAATTATTTTTTCTTCTCCTTCCCCGATCGTGTCTGCAACGCCCTCCTTTCTTCATTTTCCTTAACAAGCATTTCCATGGCCACCGTTGAAATATCTCAATAATATTCCATTTTTACTTTCATCGATTTGTGGGTCGGTTTGGGTTAGGTTGAATTTTTAAAGATCAAAAGATCATGGATTAGGTTCATGTTAACCTATAAAATTAAAATTTAGAGAATGATCATGTGTTTATAATCAAAGAATACTCTCTCTATTGGTAGATAATATCATACCATTGTGGAGAGGGTACGTTTAGCAATATTATCATCAAATTTTTTTGTAACATTTTCTCTTAAGATATTCTTATGGTAATTTGCAGACTATATCTCCAAATGCGGCTCTCCTAGAAGAAACAAATGTTCTTAAAGAGACGGCTGCAAAAGAGGAAGTTGAGGAACCAGCGCAACCGGCCGTCACACCGGAAGAGAAGGCGGAGAAAGAAGAGAGTGTTGAAGTCGAAACTGTTGCCGAACCGCCCCATTCCAAAGCGGGTGTTTTGAATGAAAAGGTTGAAGCAACGGAGGAAGAGGAGGAAGTAGAAGAAGAAGAGGAGGAGGTTGTGATCTTGACGGACGAGTCAGAGGCAGAGGAAGAACCCGAAGCAGTTGCAGAGGTAGCGAAAGAAGAAAGCGACAGTCCCAACGAGTCATCAGCACCAGAGGCCGATACACCGGCAGCAAAGGAGGCAAAGGAAGAAGATGAGAAGAAGGAAGCCCCAGCGGAGAAGACAGAGTAAGGTAATATGGGATATTATGCATGGATAAGGGTTAAAGAGAAATTTGTGGATTTTTTTTTTAAATTTTATTTTATTTATAATTTTGGGTTATCGAGTAATTTCCTTGATTTAATTAGGTAAATGGAGTGTTGAATATTGGAAGTTTGCTCATCACACGTGTCATCTTGCCACGTGGTAATAAATTGTTGGCTTGGTTTTTTGGTATTATTATCTATGTCCTAATTCGCTAAAAAAATAAAAATTAATAATTGATTGAATTAATAACTTATTTGGGCCAAATGGTATTAAGATTGAAACTGTGAATGTTTGATTAATCCACCACACCTAAATGGTGTGAAAGTTATCTTATTTATAATCAAATCAATTACAAAGATATGAAAATAACAATAAATGGAAAGATACATATGATAATAGGTAAATATTAGATATTTGCCTTATAATAAAATATCAAATATAATATATATGGTAAACTATAATTTATTACTAAATATCCTTAACAGAAACATTTTCTATTGATTAAAATATTTGAAACATATGCGTACATTTGCATATCAAACAATATCATTTGACCAAAACTAAGACTAACACATTAAAAAGACTGATTCTCCGAAACGACTTCTTTGATACACAACTTTCGAACATTCCTCACCTCGACCAACTGATCAATTATCGTCTGAAAAAAATTAATCCGTGAGCATAAAAAATACTTAGTAGATAAAAAAAAAATGACAGGCTGAATGAATTTACCTATATATATATATATATATATATATATATATATATATATATATATATATATATATATATATATAAATAATATTTTAATTAAAGAAAACACCTAACTAAATATGACCATGTTTGCCATTACCCATAATACCAAACTAATTATATTCGTCAATAATAGGGGTGTTTTTGACAAATCGAAAATATAATGGGCCAGTGATATTTTTCACGGCCCACAGGCCCGTCCATAAAGAACCGGCTCCAAAGAGGAATGGCTACAACGTGTTGCAGAAGATTTTAGCCTAGGAGCGTAAGATTCACGACAGCCAACCACGCGTTGGAACTGGACCAACACAATCTGGAAACTGCGAAATTCGGAACAAAGTGAAAACAAATTATTTAAAAAGAAAAAGAGAAAAAAAACATTCTTATTAAATATTGTTTTTTTTTTAAATGAGACAGAAATATATAAAGTAATGTCGTTTGAGTGCAAGAATATATCGTGCAAAATCAAAATATTCCGACATGTCGTTACGAAGCCAACAGGAATAAGTGAAAAAAGAAACAGCAAAAATAAAAGAAAAGTTGTGGTAAATTTGAGGCCAAACATGTTTCATTGTTTTAAAAAACATAACAATATTTTTCAATCATATTTGTTTGTCCAATGGTTACTTTAACAAATATAATTTTATTTATTTACTTTAATATCAATATTTAAACTAAGAGCTGATATCTTTATTCACTAAGTTCGACTATTACTTCCTAAAGAAATTGAAATCTAAGGCAACATAAGTTGAAAGAGATAATAGTTACGTGCAACATAAGTCTTCATTTGATTATGCCGCCCATTGTTAATGATGGTTGTTGCAACAATAGTCGGTATCAGTCATGCTTTAAAGTGAACCTAGTAGATTGGTTTAAGTTCCATGAGTCCAAAGAAGCAGTAACCTAAAAAACGACTCATTGAGTCGACCATTTTCACTTTGTTTTATGAAAGAGGTTAACCTTACTCGTCAATCCAATCACTTTCCACTCATAAAAGTTATCCTACACAATTTTTTAAGGTTAAAAATTCAAAATAAAATAATAACTGACATCTATTTTATTCACAAATATATAAATTTATTTATTTACAAACTCAAGTAAATAAAATTTCTATAATATTCACAATTTTTTTAATCAATAAACTAAATTCTTCTCTCATTTGAAAATCCCAAATAAATTCTCATCATGACTTGAACAAAAAAAAAAAAAAAAAAAAAAAAAAAAAAAAAAAAAAAAAAAAAAAAAAAAAAAAAAAAAAAAAA